GTTTGGTCGGTTTGGCTGGGTTTATGTATGGCGTTTTGCGGGGCTGTCAAGGCCAGGAACCGGGTTTGACCCGGGGTGTAGGTACAAGGGCGGGTAGCTGAGAGCTCCCCAACCCGCCCCGCCTTGGACCACCCTTCCTCTTGGACTCCGGAGCTGGCTTGGAGAGTGGCTCAAAATTCAGGACGTCGGTGGCAGCTGAAGGTCGTGCGAGAAGAACACATACACGTGATCCCACCCTCACATGAAGCTGGGCTGCTGGGAAATGTCACAGTCCTCAAACATGTTGTTTTAGGCGCGAAAACAAAGCGGAGGGTTTCCCAACTTTGCACGGCGTTAAAGCCTGACATGTTATCACACTGCGCACAAACCCCCAAGCTCCAAATACTCAGGCTTCGGAGCCGCCTGCTGCAGCCCAATGTCTTCCACTTCAGCTCGGCACTTTGCTCCGATAGAGCTTCAAGCCCTGATGGCCTTTTGTGTGTCTGGGGCTTCATGGTTGGTCTCTTGTACAAGATGCATGCCGCCAAGTTGATGTGTTGTTAATTAATGATGCTGCATATTTGCTGCCCGGCAGTCACGTCGCTACCCTGCACCGTGCTTGCACATTTTCCTCGACCAATAAGACGCCAAAACGCCACGCCAAAGACTCACCAAGGTTCAGCACCGGCATCACATCCCCATGTTAACCTTACTCCCCAAGTTCCTGGACTTTAAACTTTTTGGCAGGAGCTTTTTAGTAGTACAAGGAACATGTCTGGACCTTTCTGGGCCCATCCCCTCAAAAAGTGATGAAAACCACCCCGCCTCCTCGGGCCGCCAGCTCGAAGGGACTCGAAGGCCCTGGCCGCGTGCGAGAAGGCCAGCGCCTGGAGGCGAGGGCTCTGGCTGCTGGAGGCCACGAGGAGCGCAGCTGTGCAGCCCAACCAGCGCAGCCCCTCGGACGCGTACGCCTGGAGCTGGGGATTCGGTCTGAGGCCTGTGGGTCTTTTAGCTAGGTGCCGTTTCTTTTCCCGTTTCGGGTTCCCCGAAAAAAAGACTACGGCACAACGGGTACCCTTATTCTAACCTCTCTACTGGAGGACGTGCCGTGTCGCCTTGGAGAATAGGCATGAGGCAGCGCAAGTCGGGCGAATGATTTCTCCCTGGATGTCTTATGGAGAGATTGACAGCAACTGCTGCAGTGCAAAATGTGTCCTTCTGCACCGGTTATCACCGGTATATTGTCAACGGCTTCTTTGCCTGTTGCTCTTGTTGGCTCCATGTTGGGTCCCGGAACAGGTCTTTGGTGCAGTTTGCAGAGGGATGTTCGGACTGAAGAACTTTTTGCCAACGATTTTGGGTTTTCCGAATTAAACCACTAAAAGTGATTCACTTTTAGCCGAGGAGCAGAAAGCAACCGAGACATGCCATCCGTTGCCCCTTTCTTCCTGCGTTTGCTTTTGCTCTGGTAGGTAATTAATTCTTCGGTTGATCGATTTTCGCAGATGCCCCACGAAACGCGCCAGCAGCCGAGAAAGGCCAGACCTGTTGAAGAGAACGCCCCGCGTTCAGGTTTCAAGGAGTTGCCTTCGCCGCCTTTTCTTCATCCTAAGCCCTGGGTGGACCAGGGGTGGACTCCGGAGGGCTGTCTTGGCGACATAAAAAAATGGGGTTGAGCCCTTGTCCATTTTTTTCAGCCATCATTATTTTCAAGAACCAGCTGTGTTTTTCAAGGATTTTGGTGGTTTTCTAGAAAGGATCCCTGGAAAGAAGGGGGAAGCAAACCTTAGAACATAGGCTATGTTCGTGGAACGTGACCTCCAATCCCAGCCCTTGTTGGTGGAACCGCGCGGCGCGCCATGTGTGAAGAACATCTGCCCCTTGTGGGTCGAACCGCATGGTCCCGAGATCTCGACGGGGTGAGGCTACGGAGCTGCCATCAGCAGCTGCGAGAAGATGGGGCGGTGGTCCATGGGGTGCCTCTTGCTGCAGCAGCCAGATGCAATCAGCTGCCCAGCTGAAGTCGAGAAAAACACGCTTTTGCGCGTGGCATTCGCAGGCGCAGGGCGCAAGGCGCGAGCACCCCAACAATGAATCTGATGAAACACAGAACGAGAAACCGGCGAAGATGTTGTCGTGTCTTGCATTTGCTCCTTCTAGAAACAAAGGCAGCGAAGCGCAATGGCTTCCAGTGCAAGATGTTCTTTGTACATAAAGGCTCGTACGTGGCGCAGTGCCAGCGGATAGACGGCAGCAGATATCGCTCATGGGAATCGCAAACCTGGCGCGAACAACCGCTGTGCGGTGACTCAGGCTTCAGCGCCTCCATCAGCGCCTGCGAGAAAGGGCAGCTCAGCAGAGCGACAGGCAAATTGTATTGTGGAAGGTGGATTGTGTGTCGTTTTTGCATGCTTGAAGTGTGCTTCCTGCGTGTTCCTGGGTACGATGTGTTTGGTGTTTGGTTTGGCGCATTTGTGGGTTGGAGTGCCTTCGTTTGTTGCAGGCACTCCTCACTTGCCCAGAACGGTCAAACTACGCTGATTTGTTCTCAAGTGCCGCACTTCAAAAAAGTGAATCTCCGATGAATTTCCCAGAAACAAAATCCAAGCTTGAGCTTGCTTTGTAGCGGCGACCGCGCTTGCCGGATGTTTTGAGATGCTCCCAGGTTCATGAATCTAGCAGATGCGAATGACAATGGCTTCCTTAGGTGTATCTTAAATCTAGATGCCCAATTCAGGACCATTTAAGGACCACCCAAAACAAAACAGAAATAGGACAAAAGCAAAAAAACGAACGAGGCAACTTTGGAACTTGGGTCCCTGTCTGTTTTTTTCAGCTCTGACATCTGAGCGTCACAAAATTTCGGCGTACCGAGGTGTCAGTGGCAACGCGCTGTGGCTCTGCTGCCCCGGATGCGCTGCAGTTTGGTGCTGCCCAATCGGCTCAGCTACAGCGGCGCAGTGAGCGCCTGCGCTTCGAATGGGGTCCGCCCCGGTTTGCAACTTTTTTTTGGGGGGGGGTCTCCTTTAAACTCAACCAAAAACTCAGTGGTTCAGCGCCGACCTTTCGGTTCTCCCTTTAATTTCTGGGTCCTTTGGGCAACTGAGAAGAAGGATGCCACTTTTTGCCCATGGAAATCCACTCATTTGAGGTACTATGGTCAAGAGAGTCCCACTGCGGCTCCCCAACATAAATACCAAACTATGGCTTTAATGGTTTCTTTTCATTCGAACGGAGTTGTCAAGGGCCACAGGTTGTCAAGGGCCATAGGGCTCCCATTCCAATGCGGGCTAATAGAAACTAATGAGACCTACTGGCGGCTATTATGTTTCCTTTAGTTGCCGATTCTGGGGCCTCTTTGGGAAGGGCCTAAATTTCTGGTAGATGTGAGTAAAGGGAATGACCAAACCAAAATCGGGGAGTTGTGCAATTTACTTTCACCAAGCTGTACAAAACACATCTAAACAGAACATGGGTTTTTATATTTGCAGAACTGAATGAATGAGTGTGCAAGAATAGTTCGGCTTGGCCCATCGGCAAAGTCGCACAAAACGTCCAAGTAGGGCGACCCAAAGGGTGGGTTCCCTTTCGTTTCTCATTAGACCCCCAAAATGCCACCTAGATAGCCAAGTTGCTGTTTTTGTTCAGTCGCTGTTGCTGGTTTTTGGGGGTAAAGTTCATGGAGAGCAGCAACTAGCGATGGCACCCTTCAAAGAAAGCCTTCAAAGAAAGCCACCGCCACCCTCAACTTCATTGGCGCGGCAGGTGCCTGTGTTTTTTTGGGGGTTTCTCTTTCGAACCAGTTAAGAGATCCCTTATTTCCGGGGCGACCGAACAAACGGGTGGGTTTCCCTTCAGCCCCAAAAATGCCACCCAAAGACAGCCGCCCCTCGATCCCTCCGGCCACCAGCCAGGCGCCTGTGAAAAGGCCAGCTGGAGCCTTTGGCCCCGCGCCCTGCGCTTGGCAGCGGCGCTGGGCTCCGGAGATGTGGTGAGCCATTCGGCCGCTGGGCCCCACGGGGGGGACGCTAAGACGCCGCCAAGCGGCGTGTGGGTTGGCGCGTTTCCGGGTCACATGCCACCCGGTGCCTTTTGCAGAGGGATGTGAGGACTGAAGAACTTTTGGCCAACGATTTTGGATTTTCCGAGTTAAACCACTAAACGTTATGAGGACCTAGACTTGCTGAGGCCACCATCAGCGCCCTGGAGAAGGCGGCGCAGTGGCGCCTGGCGCTCGCGCTGCTGCGCGACTTGGCGCGGCTTCGGCTGGTGGCCAACACGGCCGGGGCCCCGGGCTCCCACCGTGGCCCAGCGGCCTGGCAAGCCCAGTGCCCAGAGAGGCCCCGAGATGCCCCTGGCTGGAGACACCCGGAGAGCTCCGTTGTCCTTCTTGGTTTTTCTTCCCCACGCAGGCTGCGCGCAGGGGTCGTGAATCGCCTTTTTCCCGATGTCGTCGCCAGGAGGGCGGAAGTTCCCGAGGTCACTCGCAACGCCGCGCTGAGCGCCTGCGGCCGCGCCGAGCAGTGGCGGGCCGCCAAGCAGCTGAGCCTTGGCTGAAGAGCATGCGGCTTGGGAGGCATCGATTTTTACTGTGTGGGTTAGGCAGGGCTACTTGTTGTTGGATGCTTGGTTTTTGGCTTGTGTTGGGTGTCCTTTGAAAGCTCCCCTTCTCAGGCGTAAGTAGATCGTTGGAACGATCACGTGCAGGAGCACGCATTCTTAGAGAAGACCTAGTTGTCTTTTGATATCACCGCGGCGCGGTGCCAAGCGAATCAGAACTTCCGATAGCCGGACGGCTCGCGCCGCGGCGCTCACGACAGCCCCGTGATTCTGAGCGCAAGGGTTCACGTGATTTGCGAGGTGTTCAGCATTGTTCAGCTTTGCTTTGCGGAGGGCAGGATGCAGTTTGATAACAGGTGTTTGATACTTACGCTGTTGCTAGACACGTACTGGGTGGAGCAGTTTGTGTTGCAGAGGCTAGATCCATGATGTGACACATAGGAGACAGCGGCTTGTTGTTTCTTGAGAGCTCGGAATCCTTTGCTTAAGGGAAGCCAAGGAGGAAGAGAGTCACAATCAAAACCCGGGTAGATGAAGGTTAGTAAGGGACGATCCCAGCCATAAATAGTTGCGGCCGCCTTAGTATTTCCTTACATGGTTCTGGTTCAATCATTTTAATACCTGGTTTTGATTGTGACTCAAGAGGCCAAAACCCGCGGTTCCTTTCGTTTGCGAGACACACCTGGCTCCGATCCTCCCAGTTCCCCCCAGTTCCGCTGAGGCTTGCGCTTCAACGCTTGCGGCCGGACCTGCTGAGCCGGCTTCGCAGTTCAGAAGCGACGGCGAGCGGAGGAATTGGTATGGCATGGGGCAAATGTAGCCCAGTTGTTCATTGGCACCTGGCTTCGTTCCTCGCAAAAATGAGATTAAACCCCAAGGCTCACAAGGGCGTCCTTGTTTTTGTTTTTTTTCTTCTCGGCCAGGGTCAGTGAGGAGCGCATGCGGAGATTGCAAATCGACCTTTGGAACTGATGTTGGTCTAGAATCGGTTGCTGCGACTCTCCTGCCGCAGTGACAGGTGTATGTGTCTGCTTATGTTTTGTTTTGTTTGTTTGTGTCTGTGCCCGCGTGCTCCGAGGTTTTAACTCCGTGCTTGGAGCTTGCAGCTCCCAGCCGCGGCAAGCACGCAAGCTTTTGATGGAGATGCAAGGCGGGGCCGCGGCCGGCCACTGCCAGACTCAGTTGTTCAAAGCCGACCCTTTGACCTACTGGTTTTCCCATTGTGGTCCATATTTAGACATGGCCCAAAAGGCTGACCTTTTCGTTGCAGGTCCTTTGGGCAACTGAGCAGAAGAAAAGGGAGATCCAACTTCCACCAGGAGCGCTCATGAGGCGAAGCGGGAAACCGTTCACAACCGCAATGGCCTGCCATGTGGCTGTGGGAGTCAAAACCGTTTTGGGATCCCATTATGGGGTAGGTGAATTCACCACCCATTGTAGCACCTATTTTAGTGGTTGGATTGGGATGTTCACTGGGGGGAACCGGTTGGGATTTTCACCCACGGCCATTTCTGACCTAGGCCGACAGCTCGAGCCTTGGCCTCAGATGCAATGCCATGGGCGAGTTTTCTCGCACGTCGCAGCTAAGGGGGGGTGGGGGGGAGGGGTTGGGGGGAAGGGGGCGGGGGGTTGTTGGGGGGGAGGGGTTGGGGGGGTTGGGGGGGTTGGGGGGGGGGTTGGGCGGGCTGTGACTGGAGCAGGCCGGACATGATCACCTTCGCGGCTGTGCAAGCCTCGCTGACTGACCAGGATCGGCAGGCGCTGACTTGCATTGGAGCAAATTTAGCAGAGGTTCTCTCCAGCACCGTTTGTGACCAGGCCTTGCCAGTGCTCCTCACGCAAATTGATGCATGGCAATGTAGATTGTTTCAAGACGCCTTCGATGAAATATGATATCATGGTGAACATGTTAGGGCATGTGCTTAAACTTATATGTTGAAGTAAGTTATGAAACAAATATAATGAATCTAATAATATTGACAGGTATGATTGAATAAGAATTTTGTCTGAAATTTGCATTTCGGGCAGGAGGCATATCAGGAGTATTAATGACAATGTCATAATTTGACATGAATTTGTTAGGCCGATGCTTGTCCATTGTGGATATTTATAGGGCTGCCATACATGTGTAGTTCTCATGAAGCCGAGGTGACCGTTTTCCCACACTGGCCTCAAAAAAGGATGTCATGAGGGCAGAAAAGTGACATAGGATCACTGAGACTATGAGGCCTGAGATTCGGCCTTTTGAGCCAGAAAAAGCCTTGACACCAGCAGCCACTTGCAATTCCTTGCCATTGCTGGTCCAGTCCTTGGCTCCCTCCGTGCTTTTGCATCAGCTTCCAACCGGAAGCCGTTGGTTGACACAACTTGGCAGCTTTCAGCTTTCAGACCAAAACCCATTTCGCAAAGCAAGTTTAAAAAAGGCCGAAGCCTCTGTGAATTTTCGCCTTGCCATGGGTGTGGCTGCCTCTGGCGAGTGCCAGGGACGATGCGGCGGCCACGCTTGCACCACGGCGGAACCACTGGAGATTGAGTCCATTGGTCCAAGGCCAGTTCAAGAGCAGACGGAGGACTGCGGGTAATTTGCTCTTTTTTGCGAGGACTTCAGCTTCAGGCTTGCTTTCCTGGATCTCTGTTTCAGAGAAACACAGGAAAAGGATCGAGCGTGAAGTGGTTTGTTTTCGTTAAACTGGTGCCAAGCGTTGAAGACAAACACGCAGGACGATGCTGAATTCGCCACAGCCGAAGACCTTCCTCAAACAAGGGGGCAACTTCGCCTGGAGACAAAGCAGCAGCTGGATTTGGATGCTGAGCTGGCTCGTGGCATCCCATTGCACCATGCGTTGAGAACCGGCCGTCTTTGGAGGCTATCGCCGATAGACATGGCGCTCCAGGAACGCGACAGGCTTTGGCACCTTTCTTCCCCAGTCAAGAAGTATGACCTTTTCCTCTCACACACCTGGCAGTCTTCTGGGACTCAGAAATACCTCGCACTCCTGCTGCAGTTTGCCTGTCCACTGGTTTTCGGCGCGTGGGCCGTTGCGGCTGCGCTCGCGTTCGGCCTTGGCGTCATGGACATGTTGCCCTCGCCTTTTCAAGCGAAGTACTTGTTTGCGAACTCTGGCGTTTCGGAGCCTGTCCCTTTGGGATGCTGGATCTTGCTCAGCAACCTCGTCTCCCTTTGCACATTCTTTGCGTGGCCCTACCTACCACAGCCAACTTCAAAGAGGTGCTTTCTGGATGCCGTCAGCATCAATCAAGTGGATCAACAGTTGATGCAAAGAGGTGTGTACGGAATCGGAGGGTTCCTGAGCATATCCCAAGAATTACGTATACTGTGGACACCTCAGTACCTTTCAAGACTTTGGTGCGTGTGGCTTGGCTCCCGTTTTCTTGCCCTTTCCCTGTCATGTTGCTTAGCTGGTGCAATTTGTGGCTGAATTGAATGCGCGCCTCCCTCATCCCAGGTTTGAGATCGCCATGTACCGCAAGGCCAACCCCTCTGGCAAAATTACGTTGGCTCCCGTCTACGTCGAAGTTGTGGCCTTGTGTTTATGGTTGACAATGGTCCTGCTGATGTTTGTGCAGTGGTCAACATGGATCCTGGGTGTGACAACAAACTTGGCGATTGGTGCATTACTCTTCTCTGGCGTGCCGGTCTGCTGGGCCATTCAGAGATTGCGTAGAAGCTGGCACTGCTTAAGATGGTTTTGTGTTTCAGTTGGTTTTGGCTGGAGTTGGTCACGGCCAGGTATGAAAGTTGTTCAACATGTTATGTCCCTACATATGCGCATAGAGAGAGGGAGAGATGCAGATATAGACATAAGACCAGGACTCATGGTGCGCCGTCGGCGAAGAAGCAACCTCAACCCACCCCGGGGCGTTGGGATGTTGACAGTGTTGCTGCAAGACGGGCGCATCTTGTTCGCAGTTGCGGTACAATTTGTCACCTGCCGAGCCTAAGAGACCAAAACGGCCTGCTGAACCTAGGACTTAAACACCCTACCTTTGCTTGATCTGCAATGTGTGTATGCAAGCTTGCAAGTTGGCCAAACAACCTTACTGGGAGTGGCTAGCGTATATGATGCACCTACGTAAGTTGGCCAAACAACCTTACTGGGAGTGGCTAGCGTATATGATGCACACACATACTTATATATATATACATATATATATATATATATATTTCTACATATATATGAGCCACGGTCATATTATGTGTAGATCACTTTAGTAAAGCAGGGTTGGCAGCATAAATTTGCAGACAAAACGATAGGGCCCTCACCAAAAACGAAAGATGCACAGAACGCTGTACAACGATAGAGCCCCCACCAAGACGATAGCTACATGAACAAAAGAAGAAGAAACCCAACTCCTTGAGGAAGACAAGTGATTTTGACGGTAGCTCATACATAGAGAGACAGAGAGAGAGCAGGAGATACATACACACATGTTTAATTTGTGTCGGTGTGCTTAGATATGCAGACACCTTGCGGAGTCGAAAGGAAGTGCGTACATCGAGCGCCAGCTGTGGCTCGGCTTGGCGGAGTTTGACTTGCAGACTGCTGGGTGCAGAATGGAGTTTGACAAGCGCTTCGTGCACGAAAGCATCGCACAGTGGTACGGTAGTACTGGGGCCTTCACAGAATACGTGCGCGGGCCCTTGCGACAGGAGCTAGCCCCATCCTTCAGATTGCCTTGCATATACTATCTTGCGATTATGACACCTCTAATGAGTGCAGGTTTGGAGGAGCTCTTATCCCTAGTCAAGTCTCAGGAGCCGTGGCAGAGCCTTGTCGCGCTCGTGCTCGGGCGCACGATTTCCATGCCGGTGTCACTGGTGCTGAGCTTCAAATTTGCCATGTATATGTGTACGCGATTTGCCGATCCACACCCCAAATATTGGGTCGACTTGATGCGCTCCTTGTGGATAGTTTTCTCCTGCACGCTTCTCGCAGTTCTTGGAGTGATGTTAAGCCTTCGAACTCGGCGCATTGGCATTGGCGCTTCTGTACTTTGGGGCCTAGCGCAACTCGGGCTTGCGTTCTGGTCCTTCAGACGGCAAGCTGCTAGAGCTTCTTAGACGGATCTCGGAGCTGCCTTCCAAAAGTGATCGACTTTGTCGCGCTGAAGCTTGTAGCGAGCTGATGGCGGAATTAGAGAGTGAAGAGATGCAATTGGATACGTGGCAACTCGATGGTGGGCTCAGCCCGCTTGAACACTTGCTTGCTTCCCAGAGCAGTTTTCGATGATTCTTCTTTTCCGAAGCGAATCAGATAGAGAGCAGCACTTGTGGCGGGCATGGTGTGATGTCCCATTGTTCACTAGAATGCTTTACGCAAATCCATTGTTCATTTTTCCTTGCCCTGTGCTGTTGCTTGTTTGTGTGAGCAGAGGGCCTGCATGGTAATTTGAGCAGGCGGGCTCCCCCCGAATGGTCAACAACGCTCTTAAAGCGTTGACCTTCCGTTGCGCCGGATGGCGAAACAAATCGGACACACACACGCTGAGGTTGACCAAACAGCACGAATTTATTCAGATTCTCGAATTCTGTTTGCTACAAAAATTTGCAAACATTTCCTAGGATGGAATAGTTCTCATATTATAGATTAATTTGATGGTTTAAAGAATAATTTATTATTATGAATAATTAGATAGACAAAATATAACATGGATTGAGAAACATTGATATTATGAAGAATGTCTTGTTTAATTGGTTGTTGTTCGGTTGTTTCGTGTTTGTGTTTTTGCGTCGATTTGGTTGTGGGAGTTGTGTGGGAGTTGTTGTCTGGTTGTTGTAATCGAATATTTTGGGCGATATAATATTATATTTTAAAATATTAGGATATATAATTATGGTTTAAACTTTAATTTCAAATAAAATGGTTTTAATAATGAAATTATTAATTAAGGATATGAAATTGGTTGATAATGAATAAAAATAATTTAAAAGAAAACTATGAAAATATTTAACATTGAAGAAAAAAATGGTGATTAAAAATTATTTGAAATTGGAAAAAAATTGGTTAAATTATGTCGATTTTTAAACGAAAATTTTTGAAAATGATGATATTTTATTTTGGCAAATTATATATATAAATAAATATAATTATTTTATGAATATAAATAATTATGTATTATATTATTCTTTTATAAATTGGTATAGCCTCGAGGTCGTATTTCTCGTGTACCGGTAAGTCGTCGTTGTAGCGGTGTTGTGGTTGAATTGTAGTGTTTGTGGTGAGTGGTTATGGTTTTGTTTTATTTTATTTTTCTTTTTTTGGTGTCGTTTTATTGTTTATAGGATGAGGGATAGTTTGCTTATTTAGGTCTTGTTAAGGTATTGGTTTGTTTTTTTTTGGATTTTGGGGGAGTTATTATTTCGATCGATATATTAGTATGATTTGATAATTATAGTGGTTTATTTTAAAAAAAATATGAATTGTGATTTTATTACAATTGATTATTTATATTATATATTTTATTGTATATAATACATTATTATGAATATGTAGTTTTGTATTTTGTGGTTTTTATTTTTGAATGATATTTTTATGGTAAAGATTGAATATTATTTGGGTTACTATGATGTTTATGTTATTTGAAATTATAATTTTTATATTGAATTATAAATATATATATATATATATGTTTAATTTTATTAATTTTTAAAATAATAATTATTATATTTATAATTAAGGTATTTATTATGATTTTAGGAAATTTTTTAACTTAATTATGAATATTGAATTGTGTTTAGTTAGAAATTCCGAAATGATATGGAAATTATTTTAGCAAAAATTGAAAATATAAATTTTATATTTATATATATATATATATTTATGGTATTTGTTTTTATCATCGGTCTAAAATATAAGAATTTATATATCACGATTAGGATATTGGGTTTTTATGATTTTTATGATTCGTTTTTTAACCGGATATGTTTTGTTTTTTTTTTTTGTAGTTTTTTTTTTTCTTTCTTTTAAGGTCCGTTTAAAAAAAAAAAAACAAAAAACTATGAATTGGTATTAGAAATAATAAATTATTTCTATATTATTGTTTTTATTTATTTATTTAAATTGAATATTTTATTTATAATATAGTTGAAAATATAGATAATAGTTTGTTTAGTTAAAAGCTAAAAATATGATTTAAATATATTTTTTGATGGCTTTATTTAACAGATCTTGATTTTAAATTGAATTGATCGAATTATAATATTATATAAATATTAGTAATATGTATATAAAAGGGGGCCGATATTGGGTAAATTCAAAAAATACCGATATGTAAAAGGAATCGATATGAATATAAATGATTTTTAAGGTATGAGTGGTTTTGAATATATGCTTGAGAAGATTTTAATTATATTTTTTGATATTTAGGTTATATAGGGTATTGATATGGTTTTAAATGTTTTCGGTTTAAAAATTAAGTGATTGAATTTGAAATATCTTTGTTTTAATTATATATTGATTTTTCTTTTTGAATTCTTTATAATTTAATATTTCCATGTTTGTTAAATTGAAATTAATATATTTATTTAATTTATTAAGATTAATTAGAATATTATTTAAAAGAATAAATAAATTGATTTTTATATAATTTGAATTTATGTTAGTTTTTCCGAGCAATAGTTTTATGTTAAAGATTGAATATATTTGGGTTATTTAAAATATTAGTTCTATATTTTTTTGAAAAAAAAAGAAATATTTTATGTTGAAAAGATATAAACCTATATTTTTTATTTTTTATTTTTTGAATTTAAAAATAATAATTATTATAAATAATAATATATTTATAATTTATTTATTTGAATTTAAGAAATTTTATTAAAATAATTATGAATATATTAAGAAATAATTCTTAATATTTAATATTATAAAATTATAAAATATATTAATCAAATTTTAAATTATAAATTAAATTTGTATTAAAAATTATTTATAGAATATAATATATTTATTATTTCGATATTCAATTATTAATAAATAATATTAATAATATTTTTTTATTAATATAATAATTTGTATTATTATATTTAATATTTTCTATTAACTTATTTTAATAATAATTATGTATTTTAAATAATTTATTTCATTAAATATATATATATATAATGTTATTAATTTAAAGAATACATAATTAATTTAAAATATATGTAATGATTTTTTAATTTAGAATATGTTATTTAATAAACCTTCTTTATTTTTAATTATTTATATATTGAAATATGTTTTTATGTTAGTAAAAAACCAGAGCATGAAATAAAAAACACAATTAATAATCATAAAGAAATATATACAATTATACTCATAGAGAAAAAATAGGCAGATAAGCCGAGCAAACGCTTAACGAAAGGCGATTTCGGAATATTTCAAAAAAATACTAAAATATTTGGGAAATTGTGCCTTATAACAAATGAAACCATTTTATCTTGATATATGGCCGGGATAACTCGGACAAATTTGGGAGGCGCCCACAGCTTTGCCTGCAATTCCACCGGCGCTTTCCGTACCTGATACGGATTTGTGAAAAGGCTTAATTGGCGGTCAAATAATATCTGGAATATTAATGGAGTATCGCATGAGCCGAACTCTCAAGGGCCAAGGTCCAGGCCGCGGTGGGTGTGCTAAAAATAGAGTAAATCTGAAAGAGTCCGCACCGGCAAGATATTTTTTGTAACTTAGACACCAATGTATTTTATTATATTATATGTTGGTAGTTGCAAAAAATGTTTTATCGGCACGGACTCTATAAGATTTGTTTTGTTCTTAGCACACCCATCACGGCCAGGACCTTAGCCCCTGAAAGTTCGGCTTATGCGATGCTTTAGGAAGAATACATAAGATCGTATTTTTTCACATATTCTCGACTCGGTTTATGGATTAATTTTGATAAATTAGAATATATTGGAATTCTTTCTCATAATTGTTTTCATTTTTATTATACCCATCTTAATTTTCCCTAGTTATTAATTTAAATTAGTGGTTTGGAATTAAATCCTTAGATTATGTTACATTTATATAGGAAATTATTCCCCCCCTAAAACACCGATCCAAATTAATAATCCAAACCAAATTATTAAGACAAACCGATATTACGCAGGCCAATTTCTATGATCTTCATATCTTGCATCTCTTAATTTGGGACAACAATTCTAAATCTGAAATCTTATTATTTTTTATTAAACACTATTATATTATGTGTTTTTTCTATCTTAATTATAATTTTAATATGTGTATTAACATTACTTATTTTATCTAATGGATTTCTTTTGATATTGGGTAATCTTTATTCTAATGCATTTTCTTTAATCTAATATTTGGAGGACATCCTATATTCTATTAAGATGTATTTTGGTTTTTTGGATATCCAAAAAATTATATAGTTTATAAAATCTAGTTTATATTTCGTAGGCCAACCTCTATAATTTAATAAAGTCCAGGGCCCGCTCCTCATGTTACCGAGAGAGCTAAGATAATTCTAACGGAAGTTAGAAGATGCCGCATTTAAGTGCGCGTAATACCCAAAAGCAAGGCTCTGAAATATTATATCTTAGACCATGCAGGCTAGATTACCTTAAGTCTAAATAATTTATCGATAGAGGCTATTAATATACGTCACCGGGATATTTCCTAGTCGCTACCTCGGCCCGACTTTCGAATACATTATGTGGGCCTGTTTTGGCTCAAAAGCTTACGGAAGAACAAAACACATTTTTTAGAGGAATGGAATGGTTTATTGCAAAATTGGAATCGAAGCCCTCCCTTTCAAGGTTTCCTTTTGGTTTACCCTCAAAAAGGGTGTTATAAAAGGGCACCTAAGTAACAAGATTTAGGTCAAAATAGCAAAATGGTAAAGCTAGTCGACTCCGGACTAATTCGAGAGATTCTAATAATCTTCAGGTGAATCGAAACCGTCTTAGCTGCTTATACCTAGGATATTTTTTAATCGATCGTATTTTTGTATACATAATAATTATATATATATATGGATTTTTGAGTTCCAGCTCAATATAGAGTACAATCTTTCGAAATATTTTGCCTAGGCAAGATCCAAGGCAAGGTCATGCCAAAGAGTCAGTAACAAGTGATCGCTTACGCAAGGTGAGAACGTTATTAACCTTAAAAGATCCATCCATTTTCTAGTTGTTATAAACATAAACGAAAACGCGATCGATTAAAATCCTAGATATAAGCCAATCCGAAATAATTTTGCCCAAAAAATAAAAACAATATCGCTAATCGTAGTAATCGGCCGTGGCTCACGCTAAATTCTCGAAAGAGACAGATATATGTCCCGATTCTTTA